ATATGAGTGTCGATCACTCAAATTTTATAGTAAAAAATTTATTCACCTGATCTGCGTGACATCTCGATCGACTGATAATACCAGTGACCTACGAGAGTGGGTGCATTTACCGGATGATGATCTAATACCCGTAAATGAAGAAGAAATAGACGAACTTGTTTTAAATGATACTTAATAAAATTAATATACTAGAATGTGATTTTTTTTATTATGCAATTATTATTATAATAGGTTTCATTGGTTATAGAATTAATTTGTCGTAGTAATGAAATAATAATAATATTTTTGATTTTATTATGAGATGGGAATAATTAGTAATGGTGTTACATATATTTCTTTACATGTAAAAATCATATTTTCTGTGTATTGCGAGTCATTAATTTGATCCCGGCACATGAAACCATATTTTTAGTCTCATAATTACATGTTGCAATTCTGATCATTATCTATGATAATAAATGACATTTGAATAATTCGCATTTGTATAAAAGTTATCGTTAAACATGCAATCCGAAATTGATTTATTGAAACAAGAGAACACTAGACTTATGGCTAGAATTGCAGAATTAGAACAGATCGCGAAGGAAAAAAATGAGCTTGAGGTTAGAATTGTGGAATTAGAACAGACTACAAAGTTAAGTCAAACAGAAAATGCCGATCAAGAATGAAATTGCAAAATTAAAATGAGCTGTTAAGAATATTGAAAAGCAAAATCGAACAGTTACTAATGATTTAGCTCTACAAGCCCTGCTTTCGCGGATATCTCCGGAATATTCCACTCCATTACCTAACAAGAGTTGCTCAAATGGTGAAAATGCGCAGATTAAAGATTCTTCAGAACAGGTAATTAACACAATTTCCAATACATCTAACCTTAATGAAACTTCTTTCGAAAAATCCAAATCATTAGAAGATAAAGAAATTGATGTCTTTTTAGATTCGGAAAATAAAAAAAGGGTTAGTAATGAGATAAGGCAGAGAAATATGAAAAAAAAGCTATTACATAGTAATGAAGCTTCCACTTCTTAGGATCAGGACCTATCTTTAGTTAATCAGGATGCTTCAACGGGATCTAAAAAGACAATAACATCCTTATCATTATATGATACGAAAACTGTGACAAAATATCACGATCTTAACAATTCTGATACCACCTCCGAAATACTTGAATCAGACAATCAAATCGTAGAAGGTTTAATACAAGAGATGACCTATGATCAAGCAGAAAATATTGTTTCTTCCGAAATCAATCATTTATATTCAAATAATGATGAGGATATGGCTCCGGGTTCTGTGCAAAGTTTATCTGACTTATTTGATAAAGCAATTAAATCGGGTCAAAACCAAATTTTAAATTGGTATTATTATTATCTAGAATTTGAAAATAAGGTTAAAAGCCTTACAGCAGATGGCCAAATTAAAGATAAAACAGCAAGATCAAAAATATATAGGGAAATGAAACCTTTTCTACCTAATATTACAGATGCAAATTTGCGTAAGAAAACCGAAAGAGCTCAAAAAATTCTTAAGCTATTTGGTAAAGGAGGAGTAGGTATAGATAAAATCAATTACATTACATATAGTGCAAGTACTATTTCGGGATTGAAAGATACTCAAATTCAACATATCATAAATCAGGTGGCATCAAAAACCGTGACAAAATGTCACGATCAGAATAATTCTGAAGTAAGCGAATATCCGGACAATTTACCAAAAGCTGAAATATCGGCAAAGTCTTCATCAGAAGCTCAAGTAAGTGCATTATCTCCATCTAATCTTACCTATGATCGTGATTATTTTCGTAATAAAATATTATGTCGATATCCTGATATACATAGAGAATTTAGTAGTGAAAAATTCGATTATTATAGAATTATTGACAAGTCATTATGTCCAGCATGCAAGTCAAGTCATAGGGATGAGAAAAGTATAAGAGGTAGATATGAAGCTGGATCTTATTTTATTAAATGTGGACAACAAGAAATTGAAATAACTGCGTAAGTAAATAATTACATAAATCTGGTCAA